TTCGATTCCGGTGTTGTCAATTTTTGGACCGGGAACGAATCTTACCTGCTTTTGTAATTAGCGAATTGGGTTGGGTGTGGATTCCTTTAAATTATTTCCATAACAATTGACACAAATTCATGTGTATTCAACCCGATCCAGTGTTGCCGAATTTTGGATTGTGAACGAATCTTACACGCTTTTCTACTTACCGGTCGGGAATGAATTTTACCCGTTTTTGTACTTAGCGAATTGGGTCGGGTCTGGATTCATGTGTTTTAAACTTAAAATAATTTCCGTAACAATTGACACAGATTAAACCCGGTCCAGTGTTGCCGAATTTTGGATTGTGAACGAATCTTACACGCTTTTCTACTTACCAGTCGGGAATGAATTTTACCCACTTTTGTTATTAGCGAATTGGGTCGGGTCTAGATTCATGTGTTTAGAACTTAAAATTATTTCCGTGACAATTGACATAGCCACAATTGACATAGCCGAAATTAACAAATGGGTGGCATGTGAATTTTGTGATCTTATATCCTTTATGACAATTGAACCCAAATTCATGTGCCCGTATTCAACCCGGTCAAGGCGAGGTGAAACCGGTGTTACTGAATTTTGGATCGGAGACGAGTTTACCCACTTTTGTAATTGACGAGTTAGATTGGGTGTGATTTTTTTTGTTAAAAACCCTCCCCGCTTTATCAAGGGAATCAAAGCAAGTTGAATAGAATATTAATGAATTTATGGTCGAGGCGAGTTTACCCCGACTTTATGTCCTTTATGACAGCTGATCCCAAATCCACGTGTATTCAACCTTATTCGGTGTTGACGAATTTTGGGTCGGGACAAATTTTACATACTTTTGTAATTAACGAGTTGGGTCAGGTGTAGATTTTGTTAGAAACTTACTCCACTTTATCAAATTGGGTGGCGTTGATGGATTTTGGGTTGTTATTTAACCTACATTTGTAATTGTCACGTTGGCCCGGGTGTGGATTTTGTTAAAAGAATCAAACTACTTTCCATCCGACCCGAAGATAAAAAATGCAGGTCTACCTCGGTGTTTACGAGTTTGGTTGGGGTACGAGTTTTACTCACTTTTGTAATTGGCGAGTCGGGTGTGAAATTGGCTATCCAACCTAATTCCACCCGGTTAAAGCGAGTTCAAATCGTTTATCCCACTTTTGTAATTGACGGATTGGGTGAGTGTGAATTTTGTTATAAACTCACCCCGCTTTATCAAACCGGTCGTAGCGAGTTCTATTAAGTATTGACGAACTTTGAGTTGGCGACGAATTTTGCCCAGTTTTGTAAGCGATGAGTTCAGGTGCAACTTTTATTAAAAATAACCTCGCTTTATCTAATTGGGTGGCATTGATGAATTTTGGGTTGGTCTTTAACCTACTTTTGTAATTGACACGTTAGCCCGGGTGTGGATTTTGTTAAAAATTAGGACCGTTTTCCATCCGACAGAAGATAAAACAATGCAGGTTGAATCCTTTTGTAATTGGTGGGTCGGGTGTGCATTTGGGTATTCAACCTAATTGGAATCGATCAAAGCGAATTGAAACCATATATCCCACTTTTGTAATTGACGAATTTGGTCGGGTGTGAATTTTGTTAGAGTTGCCCCACTTTATCATACTGGTCAAAGCGAGTTGAATCCAGTGTTAATGAATTTTGGGTCGGGGACAAATTTTGCTCACTTTTGCATTTGACGGGTTAGGTCAGGTGCGGATTTTGTTAGAAACTTAGATCTCTTCCATCTAACCCGCAACTAAAGAAAATGCAATTTGCACTCGGTGTTTACGAGTTTTGGCCCGAGAACGAGTTTTAATCGCTTTTGTATTTGTCGGGTCGGGTGTGAATTTGTGTATTCAATCTATTTCGACCAGGTCAAAGCAATGTGAAAACAATATTGACGACTTTTGTTCATAGTTTGCAATTGGTTTGCTATTTCGTTCGTAACAAACCAAACCTTTGAGGACTTTCTATGCATACTTGGAATTGTTTGTGACCCTAATACAATTACCCATCTGACACACAAAGACTTTCTACCTTTCTCATCTCTGTCCTTTCTCTTCGTTGCTTTTCTTCACTCCACTTCCCAGCCACAAAAAATATCTAGCTTTACCTCTTCTCTTTCTTCTCTCATCCGCAAGAAGCATCCCTATCCAAATCTGCCTCACTTTATTGATCTTCTTCTCCAACAGTTGTTTCTAGGGTTTTCGTCCATCGGGAATGGTTCGTTCCTGAGATGGGTTGGCGGCGAATCGGAGAGCTACCAAAGGTGGCTCCTGTCTTCCACTCCAACATAGACAGGGCCAATCGTGACAGAGGAACAGGGGAGACTCGACGAGTTTTAGGTTTGTTTATGGGGTGGCTCGCCGGGCTTCTCCACCTCCGCCATCTCAATCGACGAGGACTCAACTCCGAACTCCACTTTCGTACTTAATCGCGTTTGATCTTAGGTATGATAAGATGAGTTGCTTGATTATGGATTCAGATCATTTCGTTCGGCGACATAGATAAGGGTTGTTTTCTTTTTGCATATTACATTTTTAGGATTTTTGGGCTGCCATTAATTTTGCCTTATTTTACATTTTCAGGTTGATCAATCAGGAAGAGGGAAGGAGAAAACACATGGGAAGGAAGTGAGATCGCCGACCGACATGAGATCTTTCAAAGATTCTCATGGCAGAGGAAACATGATAAACCATCAATGGTGGAATAGCTATCCACGGCCTTCAAGGTAAGTTCCTTTTTTTCTTCTCGCTTTTGGTATGTTCGGATTTTTTATTTATTGGTTCCTGCTAATTTGATCAAACTTATTCCTTTTGGTTTTCGTCTTCGGACAAGGGGCAGGATGACGGAGGATTTGTCGTTGGTGCAGATTTTTGAAGGCAGTAGAGGCGACGAGGGCTGGTTACTACTCTCTGGGTATGCTACTTCTTTTTGTGTTTTGGTTCCGTTAATAGTCTGCGTGTTGCCTTTCTTTGATATAGTTATGGTATGTTTTGTTTTTATTTGATTTCAGGAAAGGGAAGAGGTAGAAGAAGTCGGTAGTTCTGGCCCTTTCCGGCGACGTTAGCAGTGTAGTTTGATGCAGAGTAGGAAATGCATATAGGTAACTCTTTTATTTTTCTGTGTTTGGTGATTCAATTCATTTTTGCCCTGGTTGATTCTGATTTTACTCTGCATCTTTTTTGTCTCTTTCTCTCCATGTCATCGCCGAAGGTTGTATGCCTGAAGAACCAGAAGTGTAGTTTTCTCAATGAGATCATCAATCACAGAAGGTGGATTATCCATCGTTGACGAACAAGTTCCTCCACTGCCTCCTAACGAGCCTCCACTATGGCTATCCTTATATGGATTCGAATGTCCAATATTATGGGTGTGCATCTACTTTGTCAAGTGGTAGTTTCTATGTGCATGTTGATGGAAGTCAGGTTGAAATCCAACACACATCTCTCTATTATGATCCTGTTTCAACTACGTATGCTGAAACACCTCCTGTTGGGGTTAACCCACTCGAGCAAGTAGCATCCTATAACCACCTCCAAGCACTGTGCTTCCTGGGACTCTCCTTACAGGCCAAGAATCTTCTAACTTGCCAACAAATGTTGGTACCATGCAGTCTGATTCCTGTTATATTCTCGATGTTGCCAACTCAGTCGAATCAGAAAAATATGTGAAGCCCGGGCCAGGCTCGAATGTGAACAGCCAGGCTCCTGATGTCAACAATGATGAAGTGACTATTTCTACAAGTTCGATCCATGTTCTTGGTGTTGCTGCATCTGCTCCTTAAAATGCTAAGGTCCATTTAAAGGTAAGGTTTAGATATGTAGGCCTGCTGATGATTTTCTAACCCTATTGGAACTAAGATGCATTTTCAGACAATTCCTTTACCAGATTGTGGCAAGTGCCAACTTTTTTTTATAGCTTTTCTCAGTTGTTTGATTATGGGATTATCCACCGGTGATTGGTTAGTTGGTCGAGGAGGAGAATCAGGACGCCACAGAAGAACAAGCCACAGATGAACACATGACAGACCCTTGGATGGCGAACAAGAACAAGGCAGTAGTTATGAGTTCAACGAAGAAGCTCAAAATTCATAGAGTTGAGCACTCTTCAGACTGTTGCAGTTTCGTGTTTTCCTGTTTATAGATAACTTATGTTGTGCTGTGTTTTTGTGTGCTTTTTTTGCAGTCTTTGGTGGCTGGCTTCTACAGAGTTAAATCTGTGTTGAACAATCATATCTGTTGATTCATTTGGGAAGGTTATCTTTTGGTTTTCCTTTTACATTTTCGTTTGCTACGCTTTGTCAGTTTCCAAGACAAAATACATACCAGTTAGAGTTCCATGCATGCCTTCTGTTTCAAGTAAACTGTGGAATTCCATTTAGTTTATGCTTCCTTCTTTTTCTTCCTGGTTATTTTCCTACATGCAATGTATTCCTTCCTTCAGGCTATTGCCATTGCTTATGCAAGTATGCTTGCATTTTAAGAGTCAGGCGCAGTAGATCTCCACATTTAGCAACACATATCAACATAAGAGTTATCTGTTGGTGCATCATCATTCTTAGTATTGAGAATATGCTTCTCTGTAATGTAAATTTGTGCAAACGATAATGGTTGGATCTACCATGATTTCCAGTGGCTGCCGTAATGCATTCAGTATGAGCAGTGTACTCATCCTTTTTTGTAACTGCTTAGTGTGAGGCTTAGCCAGGGTTTTTTAAATGTAGTGGTGCTTTCTGGGGGTTGTGATTGAGGGTAGGTTGTGTTTAGCGGGTATGTACATGTTACAGTCCAGATTTGTGTTTATTTGCAGAATTTGATGATTCCATTACTGATATCACAGTTCTGATTTTATTGGCCTCCAGATTCTTTAGATACTTGGTTAGTGTCTTTTAACAGTATGGACTTACACTTTTTAGAATTGCCTCATGCAGAAGCTTTTAAGCCTTTTTCTTTTTTAAACTGATATATATGGATGGTGTTTGGTGAAATGCCAGAGTGGAGCTTGCTTCCACGAATAGGACAGGCCGGAACAAAGGTACCTTGAGGGCACAACACAGGAGCTTCTGGGTGGCACTATCAGGTGCTCATCAAATGTATGTGGTTCCCATCAAGGATTTGGAATCAGGTTTGCTGCAAGCCCTTATGAAAACTACGGTAAGCACGAGATCGTATGTTTAAAGCTATCGTTGATAGTGAAAGTAACCATAATTCAAATACAAATTCCTCTTTGCCAGTGAATGCCTGCCTAAAAGTAATGAAAATCTTGAAGTTGAATTAGTAGTCAGGTTTCATTGATGGTCTAAACGTGACTTGGTTAGCTCTGTGTTTATTTCCTGTTATAGTCTCCCATTGAACGAAAATGGAAGGATGTAAATTGTCTTTTCTTTCATATAATGAGATTCAACGAATGAAAATGGAAGCATGCAAATTATCTCTTTCTTCCTACATGTATCAGATATTAGTTCTAAGCCTTCGTTTTGTTCCTCTGTAGTGTGTGGCTTGCAGATTTATCTATCATATATATAAGAAATGGTGTTTTCTTTATTTTTCATGTTTCATTACCATATTTGGTATATTGTTTTTTGCTCGGTGGCAATGTTGTAAATCTTATTGTTTCTTTGAACCATTTGCAGTTCCACTGCTTCCAGAAACTACAGCTTATAGAGTTGAATGTCATCAGTGATTCATCCACTGTAGGGATCTCACTTTACTTGCTCATTCACTGCTTTCACAAACTGCAATCTGCAGAATTGGTTCTAAGGGATGCTAAGTTACTGCTTTCACAATAACAACAAGTGCAGGAGTAGTAACTGCAGCACAACAACATAACAAGTAAGCCAGCTGCAGCAGGAACCATACAACTAGCAGAAGTAGCAGTGTTAAAAAAAATAGCAGAAGTAGCAACAATACAATGATCCATCATTGCAAAGGAGCTCATATTTCGACAAATAAGAGCATGGTAATTCACTTGGACACTTGAGGAGCTTTTTTTGTTTCCTTGGCCACAAAATTCAATTAATACATATCTTATGTATTTCTGCATTTTGCAGTTAATTTTATTATCCATCCTTATTCTTATCTCGAAACTATATTGTACAAGTGAAATTAGTAGTGTTGTGTGTGCTGAGTGACTAATGATTATGATTGAGAGATCCGAAAGAAAGGTCGATGTAGCCTGTAGGGTTGTAGATACCTAATCCAGTCAGAGTGTTTGTATTGAACTAAAAATGCTTAGATATCGAGAGTATAAGGATTGATGTAGGCAAAAGTGAAGCTAGAGCTTCTGGCGGTGTCTTGGTGTGATGAATGGGATGGGAGCACTGCAGAAGCTATTCGATCTGCTTCCCTGTTTTCAATTCAGGTTTGGCCTGATTTGGGGTTTACCCTCTACTCGCTTTCCGTGCTTTCAGATAGGCTCAATCTGCTTAAGTTTCCCTTTTGTTTTTGTTGTGATGGTGTTGGTGTCAGGTGAGCTCCCATAACGAGACATTTTTATTGTTATATAAGTTTTCCTGCTTTCTTTATCAAATTCAAAGTTTTTGCAGCTCTCTCTCTCTCTCTCTCTCTTTTTACATTGGGTTATTCATTAATATCTTTGCTTGGGTATTTATATGGTCTTAAAATAAGAATTAAAAAAACGCATAAGAGGGTGTTAAATGCTTTTGTTACCGACTCATCTCGATTGTCACTTGCAGGATGCAACCAGACATACAGAGAGGCTGAGATGAAATGAAGAATTCTGATGTAGTCACAATTATGGGTTTGTTGTTCAGGTACCATTAATTACTGTGTAGTTCTATTATGTACATTTTGAGTTGCTTTTTTGTAGAACCTATTGAAAAAACAAATTGCAATGGATTTCTAACTTTGGCAGCTGCCAATCTATTCACTTTCAGCTTTTAGTTGTGCCCTTCTTAATTAGTTAGTGGCTGGAATGGTTCTTCCTATTTATATGGCAATGTAATTATATTGCAAACTTTCCACCTGCCATGTTATGTTCTGGATTGGTGTTGATTCATGAAAATAGCCTATGATCGGTTTAGCTACCTCAATGATGTTACATGGCTGCTGCATTTGTAATTGTTTTGAGTAAAGATTGGATTTTTCTGGTTGTGAAAATGATCGTTGGATGCTTTGATAGAAATATTTGTTTGATATTACTTGATGAGAGAAATATGGAATTTTGATATTAAAGTAACAAAAGGATCGATGAATAAGTTGCAATTAATACATAATTAGAGGATCCTTGGAGTTTACAATTTTATGGAATGTGGGTTATAAGTGTGTGATGAGCACTTAAAAGCTGTGGAGCCAGAGTTTCGGCCAAGTTTGTCCATTGTTTGACCATCAACTGTAAATCACATGCTTGCTAGCTTCAATGAGAAACATTGTTCTGAATCAAGGCATTAGGATCCATCATAGGCAAATGCAAGAGCCCTTTCTCATCCTCGGCAGTTAGTTGCTTCCTTTAGTAAGGAAATATTGAGATGGTATAAATAATCAACAACAAGAACATAATTTTCCGTTTATGGTCTTTACTGTTATATGCTCTTTCAGTCTTTCTCCGCATTTGAAAATGCAAGAGCCCTTTCTCATCCTTGGCAGTTAGTTGCTTCCTTTAGTAACGAAATATTGAGATGATATAAATAATCAACAACAAGAACATAATTTCCCGTTTGTGCTCTTTACTGTTATATGCTTTTTCAGTCTTTCTCCGCATTTGAAAATGGGAGAAGTCTCTGTTCTTGATGAAGTTTTGTATTTCCTTTCTTAAATATGGTTTATTTGGTGAGGTGAAGCATTTTTTTTTACCTTATTTTTCTTCATTAGCCTATTATTTAAATTTTGCCAACCTGATGAAGAAACTCATATGTTGATCCTTGATTTTATCGAATGCAAACCATATATTTCTTTTTGATGACTTCTTTTTTGTCAATTTGTTTTTCTTTTCGGTTTTGGTATGTTTGGATTTTTCATTCGTTGGGTTTTGCAATCTAATCAGATTTTATTTTTGGGTTTTCAAGTTCGGTCAAGAGTTAGGATAAGGGAGGAACGTTTACCAGTGTATATTACTGAATGCAGCAGAGGGGATGAGGGCTAGCCACCGGTCTCTGGGTAAGTTTCTTTTTGGATTTTGGTTCTGGGTCTTGCTTTCCTTGATCCGGTTCTGATATGTTTTTGTCTTTAATTTGATTTTACCAAAGGGAAGAAGAAAAAAAAGTCGCTATAGGCTGTCCCGACGGTTGTCAGCAACGACAGCACCAACGTAGCTGGCTGGCAAAGGTAGGAAATGTTCTAGGTGGCTTTTTAATTTTATTTCCTTTTAGTTTTTAATCATATTATGTGTTTTGATATCTTGCTCTTGCTTAATGTTCTTGCTGAGTATCATCAAATTTATGGTTGTTCAATTTTGTCTTGCTTTCCTTTAGAGTTTACCTATTGATCTCATTCTGGACTTTTAGGGTGCAATTTCGTCCAATATTTTGCTCAATGTGCTTGGTATTTGTTTCAGCTTTTGTTCATTGATGACATCTTCTTTTGCATCGATTAGTAGTATGAATTAGATGGTGCTTCTCTTTCAATTGAGTCTGGATTTAAGAAGCGATTGACTGGTGAGGATGCTTTGACGCAGGCATTGGACACCATGACTAACTTATAGCAGTGACTATATTACTGGAGGAATACTCAACATCTTGATCAAGCTGTGACAAGTAATCCTTCAGAGATGATAGTCATTTGTGCATAATATGAAAGGAGTTTCTTTCTTTCACCAATAGTGGTATGAGGGGAAGCCTCACACAACTGTTATCAATTCAGACTCTAAAGCGAAGATCCTGCCTAGAAGGTCAAAATCTAGAGGCGTGGACAGGTCACAACACTTCCAAAGAGATTTCAAGCTTCATGCTGAGGTAACCGACAATTCTTGGTCACAATCTCAATACGAAATTTACTGCAATTAGTAGATTTAATTGATCTATAGATGTACCATCTTTGGGTTGATTTGTAATTAATAAAATGTGTAGGATTACATTTAGATAGTGGTGGAAGGCTGATTGTTACATCTTTACTACCAATGAACTTGCAAATCATAACATTGGTATAGTGAGAGCTTTATGTATAGAGCAAATCTAGAATTGTTTGACATATGAAATTTTGCTGTAAACATTACGTTCTTTTACCGCTTTGCACATTCAACCTAGATCCTTTTTCCTGTGTCCATACTTTAACTGTTTAATTGCTCAGTGATTCACAGGTTTAGCTTACTCAGTTTGGGTGCTTACCTTCTAAACAACACATTTCGAAAGTCTTCACCCACTGGTTCCAACTTAATCTTTTTTTTACAAGGTACTTCCTTGCAATGGTTGTTTAGATATGATTGGATTCATTTTGAAACTTCTTAGCATTGAGGTTTTGATTGCTTTTCAAACAGATAAGCAATACAAGTTTGGGTTTCAGTAAAGAAGGAAACCATAACAGACAAATCATGTTATTGGGATCGAGTTGAAGACCTGCAACTGGTGCTTTTTAACCTTCTATAGCACCTTCCAGGCATTTTTATGGCTTTAGTCTCACACTCCAAAGACTTTAAGACTCCGGAATAACCCAGCTCAAGGTAACTAGAGTTTACACTTTGACTTCGTTATTCCGTTCCCATTTTGGTTTTAAGATTGACCATGTAACTTAACCTTTTTTTTTTTGCCCTTTCTCAAACCTTTTACAGAGATTAAAGATGAATAATGTTTTATCTAATTTCATCCATAATCTGTTGTAGTTAGTATTACAGTAAAAGAACTGAAAGGTCAAATCTTGCTCGATACATCAGTCTGGTGGCCATCACTGTTTGCAAGTTTTGTTGCCTTTATGTTTGCTGTTGTAAGCTCCATTGTATGAGCCTTCCTAGAAATCTATTTAGGTTTGTAGACAGATGCACGAATGTTGGAGAATTCAGTTGGACATGAATTGTGTGGTAATCTATAACACTATCAGTGTGATTTTATCAAGATTCGTTGGTTTTGATGTGTCAGTTGGGTTCTTAGGAGTGTCGATATTCTTCATTACAACATGTTCTACAAGATGAAGGTTGAGCTCTTGGAACAACTTTAGTTACCACATATCTAATGCTCATATTATGCTGTTAGAACAAGGATTGAACTCACTATTCCGATCATGCCTGCAATTCGGTAATAATACAAGATGAACAATAGTTTTACTAACCATATATCTATTACTCATATTATGCTTTTAGAATAAGGATTGAGCTCACTAATCCAATCATGCCTACAATTCAGGATTAATACAAGTACATATGTTTTGGCATCATGTCTTGGTTAAGGAAAACTACAGCAGATTGGTGTCATTCACTGACATTATAGATTTATGCAAAGAGGTAAGGGCTATAGCCTACATATATTTTTGCCTCGGGACCTCTCAGTTTGACTAATTAATTTCCTTTTACTTCATGTCATGTTCAACCAGTCTTCTTACAACCTCTGTATGTGTGGTTGGTTTAATCCTTGCTGCAATCCTACAGCCACGTAAAGAAGGTTGAGCTCTTGGAGTTTCAAGGGAAGGTGGATTAGTAAAAGACACTAGAATTATGAAGTCTCTTCAAATCAGTAGGAAAGGTTAGGTCAGCCGCTATAGTGCTTCATAATCTTGATTTGTCTTGCTTTCATTTAAACCGGTCATGTATCAATGCTGAACTTAGTCAAAATTTAAGAGCCTGACTTTCATTTGAATGCCAGTTAGCACATTCATTGTTCCATTGGGTTAATTGGATACTCTTTTATGTCCGTAGCAGTCACTTATTTTATTTTGCTTCGAGTTTTTATAGTTCAGTAATTCTCAATATAGCCATTTACCAAACACTTTTTGTGCCATCAAACAATCCGTTTTAAATCATTCAAACAGTCCCGATATCAACACTTTGAAAAACAACCCGCCGCGAAGCGCGGGCTTCTTACCTAGTATATATACAACACAACAAAAGACAAGAGACGATCGAGTAGGTTTTCTTTGGTTCACCTGCTCCTCATTATATGCATAGACCGCGAAGTCGGCGCATTCTTCAACAATGGAATCGAAGCCTAGCTGGAAATTAAAATGCTCTCGACTGAGGGTAAGGTAGCGTCTCCAGGTTGAAATAAATTGGACGGCAACCAAAATAGAAGCCCTGCGTGCGTATATGAATTAAGAACAGATTTCGAATAGCCAATAATACTAATCAAGAACCAATAAAATTAACAACAGATTTCGAATAGCCACCGAAATCGTCGTCCCCAAAAACGTAGTCCCCATCGTTCGTACTCTTCTTTCACCTCCATCTTGTCGAGTTCCCGGCAGCTTTTGCATTGGAGATGTTTGTAGTAGGTCAACTCATCAGGATTTTTGGAAACCCTCGGGGATCCAATCGATTACCGGTGGATGAAGAGCGACCACTCGCCTGCTCTTCTCTTCTATTCTAGGGTTTTCGATTTGATTTTTGGAAACCCTCGGGGATGAACGAAATTGTATGAATATTTATGTACTATTAGACGTTGGATTAGTTTAGGGACAAAATAAAATATGTATCTTATACCTAACTTGCAGATAGGCGTGGTTATACGGTCCGATCCGGTTAAATTGGTCAGAATTGATCCGATCTTAGTACGATTTATTCGGGAATATAAGGACCAAAGATTGGATACAATCCGGTTTTGATCCGGTCCAGTCCCAATTCGGTTTTGATTTTAGATTGAACTTGTTGGGATTTGAGTAGCTTGAGGCCTCAAAGGGCGAGAAGTTGGTTAAGTTTTGGGTGTTGGACTCTCTTATCCGGTCTTTATTCGGTATTCGATCCGGTCTCAAATAATTTTTACCTCAAATCTAAGCCTGAAAATGGAATTGAATTGTTTGCTATCCGATCACGATCTGGGTTATAGAATCTGATTTTGGGTAAAACCAAATAGTATGGACCAAATAACCAGCCCTACTTACAGTACCTTAATTTTAGTAACTATGTCATCAATCTATCACTAACTCTGACCTTGTCTATTGACTGAATCCTTTAAAGTTAGAGATTATAAATAATTAATATACAATTAAATCATATATAAAAGCCTAACATTATAGTTATTATTCATTAGTGGCTCTCACACTCCTCCAAGTGCAAGTGGGGAAGTTCCAGGTCCTTTTATCACACTCTCTATTCTACAACCTTTGTGTTTAACTATTGTTTGTTGAGTTTACATCTATTGTCCATTGTGTTTCCATAACAATTCCTTCTATATCCCACTCTCCAGTCTACAATTTTTGTGTTTACCTATTGTTCGCTACGTTTACATCTATTGTCCATTGTGTTTTCCATAACAATTATTGCCTACTAGGTTTTCAGCTCCCTATTGCAGCAACTATCTACTAGGTTTCGTCTATAGATTTTTGCACAAATCATCACTTTCGCCTACCATTTCGCAGCCCATCTCGAAATACTGTCGGCTGAATCGTAAATTCCCCCCCCCCCCACTGTTTTCCAAGGCCGCTACCACAAGTTTTGTATTGGGACCGAGTTTCATCCTCTATAGTGTTTTTTCTTTGTCTTTTTCCGTTTTGTTGAGCATGATCACAATTGAACCCAAACACATGGGTATCCTAACTTGGACCCAAAATCATTGCCTTTTCGCACCATTTCGCAACCCAACTCGAAACACTATAGTTTAAACCGATTGGGAGAATAAGAGAAACCAAATTATTAAAATAGTTTAACAACTTAAAAGAAATAACATTGTAGCGGTTTCCGATATATTAATGACTAACCGACTAAATCATTTTACGAAAATGAAAGAAAACGCACATGCAAGGGAACCAACTCCTAAAGACCAATTAAAATAACCCTTCTAATTACTCCTCGTTTTCATAGATCACTGTATTTTTTTTCTTTTTGGCTTGTTTACATTTCTTTCAGCATGAGCAACAACCTCATCGGCCATCGCCACCATTAATAATGTCTTAATCTTCATTACCATTCCTTATTCTCTTGGATTTCAGTTATATCTTCCTTGTTTTCCTACATTTTATTGAACACAAAAAATTTATGGTAAAATATATCAGTAAATTGAAATCATATTTTTCATTAGAGTACAATTTACCTCGATACCATCATCATCTGTAGCACCGGGTACATTACCTCCAGCATTAACAGTGTCATTCTTGTTATCCTACATTAGCATTATGAACTTAGATCATTTACATTTAAAAGTACAACATATTGGTGTTCTCCACCTTTTAATTGGAGGTTGATTTATTTGAATATAATTCACTAAAGCCAATTTTGATAATTAAAACATGTGCTCCCTTCGTCCGACCATTGAAGTTATTAATAAGATTAAATAATATAACTAAGTATGACATGTGCATGATATAAAAATCCAAATATAGTAGAAAATAACTCAAATTTGTAATTAATATTGATCATCATTTTTATTGCAATACAATTTACATTGATAAAGTTAGGAAGATCGTCGGTGGTTTGTTCTTCATCGTCCTTCCTTATCTTGGTAATTGTGCACTTGTTGGATTAGCATTGTTATATTTGTGAGCTTGATGTCGAACTACAACATCATTCCCTCAATTTGCAGGAGATGGGCAGGACGTGGTTCTCTCATTTTGTCGTTGTCTTGGAATAGCCTTTCAGCCGACATTTTAAAAAATCGAGCTCCCACTTTATCCATAACAACAAAGTCAGCCTCTCTTGTTTTATCCACAACTCAAAATTTGATTCTGAATCTGCATAATGATGGTAATGACATTAAAAAAAATTTGTTCAAGTACACTCTATTTTTGAATATCTTTATGTTTGTATTTAATTTAATTTAATATTGTAATGTGTAGGTAAATGTTTCGTTTGTATGAGCAATATGCACCATTAATTATTAAGGGGATGTCACTTTTGGATTCATTAATAATATAATATTTGTGTTCTGCACATAATAATTTAAATTATAATTTGGAAAATTATATACCCAATCACTTGACATTTATATTCATCAAGAAAATATATCAAATCTAATTGCATGTTAATAATGGTTGCATTACCTTGAAGTGGTTGTTTTTATAGCCGCGGTTCTAGGGGTGGGCAAACTATTCGGTAAAATCGAGCTGAACTGGAACGGAAACCGAAATAACGCTATTCGGTTTTGGAATTCGGAAGGAAAATATCAATATTTTGAAAATCAAGGTTCTTTCAACCGAACCGAAATTCCAACTGAAAAACCGAAATACTATAATTGGAACCTCCAAAAGGTGGATTTTTATGTTTGTAGTTATTTTTAGACTTAAATATTTGAAATGTTTTATGGCTTATGTGTTGAAAGTTCAATTTTATCATTGATTATGCATATAATTGCATTTTTATTGTTTATATTAGGGGTGATAAATAATTTAAAAGTGAGAAGATACAAGTAGCCTCAAAATTTCGGTTTTGTGTGAAAAACCGAACCGAATTATATTTTGGTTCAAACCGACCGAACCAAATTATAATTCGGTTCGAATTCGATTTGAGGTTTGGGAGAATTCGGGGACTCTGTATTCATACTTTTGGTTCGGTCGAAACCGAACCGACAGAATGCCCACCATTATTTATTGAGGGGATGTCCCTTTTGGATTCATTAATAATATAATATTTGTGTTCTGCACATAATAATTTAATTTATAATTTGGAAAATTATATACCCAATCACTTGACATTTATATTCATCAACAAACTATATCAAATCTAATTGCATGTTAATAATGGTTGCATTACCTTGAAGTTGTCGTTTTTATAGCCGCGTTACAATTCCCACATAAATCAATATTTTTGTATCTCTTGGCACTGCGGTTTTATTGTTGGGGTTTTAACCTGGGCAAGTAGAAGATTTCAACGCCGATATCAATCTTCCGAGATCTCTTTTCATTTCAAATAACATTCACCCCACACTCCGCAAAAATCCCATATCTCTCTCGCTCACTTGTCCGTCCGTTAACCTGTTCAGCAACCGCAAGTTCACGGTACCCGGAATATGCTTCATTGGACATCTCCGAATTCTGCTACACTTCTACTTTTGACACAGTTAAATCGATTGTTAACCTTAGTAAGCGCGGTACACCGTTAACCGCTAACCATCCTTTGTACGATCACGATTAACCGCAAACGCACCTTTTCCCACCAATACCTACAAATAATATCCACTTCAATTATATTTTGAACAAAACAAGTTCAAGCATTCTAGCGACATGCTAAACTTCCATGAGATCGACATTTCCAACTTGGGAAACATCATCTTATTCACTATATTGACGGACCTTTGCAACCGTGTAAAGTCCTTTACCTTTACAATTAATCGCGGTTAGTGCGGTTAATCGCATGTAACCGCGTTAGTAATCGGTTAAAATGCGGTTACATGTTCGGTTGCGGTTGCGGTTAACCTGCAAACCACAAAACATACAATATTGCTAACTGCGACCGCAAAATACCCTATTTATTTGGTTTGCAGACCACACGGTTTCGGTGTGGTTAGCGGTTTAACCACAAAACCGCAACCAAATTCCCACCCCCTGCTGAAGCACCACCTTCAGCTTCCAAATAAATCAGACTAAACAAACGCAAAGCCATAAACAAACTCCATTATTGTCTACTACTACTACTACTTATCCTCCTGGGAGTCCCAAACACCATCTTCAGCTTCCGAATCTCCAACTACCATAACAGCCAGCTACATAATTAAAACAAGTGTATTTCAGGAGAGCCCAAAGAGCCTCACAGACACGAACTCCTCCAAGGCTCTCTGTAATCCAGTTAGGTGGGGGGAGGGCGGCGCTTGCCCGGCCTAATGCGTCTATCGAACGCGGGATCCGGTGTCATCAAATCTGTAAACAGGGAAGCATCTTTTCTTAGCAAAGGAATTGACAGCATTAATTGTTGCAACGAATACATACCCAAGCCACCAGGTACAGTAGAACAAAAACAAGCAACAGTTTGATACATATACAATGACAACATTCAACAAAAACGTGCAACAAGTTTAAACATATATAATGACAACATTCAACAAAAACCATGTGAGTCATTATGTACGCCTTCATAGGACTTACAACAGGGCCAATTGTGAAACAGACAAATGCGCCATGGTAATGAATAAAAACCACCACGGCTAAAGTGGCAATCACCCTCCCAGAAGATCTACTAAAGACATTCCCTTAAATTTGCATCCGGATGCTAATTGAAGAGATGAAAAAACTGCATGCGTATGGCATCAAAAACAGCCCATAACAGAAGTAGAGTGCTATATAATTAAGTAGTCACTTACTTTCCCCATTAGAGTCCCTGAAGAGCAAAATCTTCTTCAGATTCCTACTCCACCAGCGACAGTTAAGCACCACTCTGTAAGTCTTCTCGTTATCACTCTCACCAGAGCTCCTTTTCCGTTTACCATCGTCAGTGGAGCTACCACCGTCGTCACCGGTGCTATCACCATTGCGGCAGCGAATGACCAGATAGAATATCTTGATACCACCACTACCTCCAATAGAGGCATCATCAATACCACAAAGCTCCATCTCAGCATCCTGGAAAACATTCACATTACAAGCATGTATATATATAGAACACAACAAAAGACAAAGACACTCGTATAATGAGTTAATCTTCTTTCCTTCTCAAAATATCCAATCATTTCAAAAAGCTTGGTGGGTTTTCTTTGGTTTACCCGCTCCTCATTATATGCATAGACCGCGAAGTCAGCGCATTCTTCAACAATGGAATCGAAGCCTGGCTCGAAATTAAAATGCTCTCGAGGGTATGGTAGTGTCTCCAGGTTGAAATAATTTGGACGGCAACCAAAATAAAAACCCTGCGTGCGTGCGTATATGAATTCAAAACAGATTTAGACCCTCCTCGAATAGAAAGAATTTGCAGAAGAAAGTAATTGATAGTATAAGAATTAATTAAGGGGATTTTGGGAACTTACACCCTCCTCGAATAACCTCCGCCTGTAGAAGATGACATGCAGCCTTAGGGTCTTATCGCCACCGAAATCGTCGTACCTAGAAACGTAGTCCTCATCGTCGTACTCTTCTTTCATCTCCTTCTTGTCGAGTTCCTGGCAGCTTTTGCATTGGGGATGCTTGTAGTAGGTCAACTGAGGCAACTCTAGATCGTCGGAGGAGGCCATGGGATCCAATCGATTACCGGTGGAGGAAGGGCGACCACTCGCCAGCTCTTCTCTTCTATTCTAGGGTTTTCGATTTGATTTTCGGAAACCCTCGGGGATGAAGGAACACGACATGATCCATTGTTTATATTAGTCAGTTGTGGACTGTGGAAGATCAATCATCAAAATCTAGCCCGATCAACTTTGGGCTCTCATGGGCTTTACTCTCTTCTTATCACGGCCCATTCTCAAACTTCCCTTTCATTTTCTTTCTTCACATTAATAAATACTCCGTGCATAGGGTTAATTACAAGGTTGGTCACTGACATTATAAAAAATGTTTATGTTTGGTCACTAAAAATATTTAATTCCATCCGTGGTCACTAAAATTAGTTAAATGGTTCAAATTTAGTCACTCTCCGTCCAACTCCGTTAACTTTTGCTTATGTGGCAGTCAACTTTCACAATTGACCGTTAAATAAATGACGTGGCATTTAAAAATAATAAAATATAATCATTTACAATTTCCACCTCATTTTTACAATAAATTAAAATAATAAAATAGTTATAATAACTAAGTGAAGTGAGAAGAATGGCCTCTAAGTACCATCCGATAACTAATTATAAATCTATAGCCAAGGTACTTAGATCCCATTCAGACCACTACATCACCGTCGCCGTAATTCTCCGACCAGCTATGCTTCCAGCCCTGTGCCGTCGGTCTTTGCTGGACCAGAGCACCTCCGTTGCAGTCTGTCTTCGCCGGGTTCCGCCTCCATCTCCAACCCTCTTGTCGCTCCGCCTACCAACCGCCGCACCGCCTCCTGCGTGTCACTAGCCTTCTCGTCGCTCCACCTGCCAACCGTACTGCGTCCCATCAGCACTCGCAGGGAAGGGAGAGCTAGAGATAGGACTGCTTTTGGATTAGCCTTTTAAGGATGTTGGGTGATTTCCTCGCACAAGCATCCTCGCCGCGTCAAGCTTCCACCAGTGCTTTGCTTGATTTGAACATCGAAGAGGCAATTAAAACCTAGATCTTGGAGTCTAGCACAACTGACAAAAGTTCTCGACAATTGAAACCAATGGTTCTAACTCGCGGCCTCCGCTTCAGACGTATGTCACCGCCACCGCTTCAGTTGCTCTTGTCGCCACCGCTTCTCACGATTTCACTTCCTCCTCTTGCAATCGCGTGCTCGTCGGCACAAGGAGTGAGCGAAGAAGTGCTATCGGGGCAAAGGAGTGGGTGTCGACTGAGATTTCACAGATGAAGGAGCAGCGCGAGCAGCAGGAACAGTAGAAGAAGGGGCGACAGCGACAGCGGCGTTATCATTGTCGAGGAAGGTGGAGACGACGGTGTCGAGATCCCATTGGTGGCTCTCGAGGAAGAAAGCAGCTTCCTGCCTGGTGGAGGTGACCTCGCAGAAGGAATTGACGAGAGCGGAATTCGCGTTGTCGTTGAGATCGAGATTCCCACCGGCGGCTTCCATGTTCGCTTTCGAGGGGTTTCGCCGGACCTCTAGGCGTACGATAGGTGTGAGCCGGTTGCTGGATTAGGTATTGGTATTGAGATTAGAAGAAATTAGGGGTTTTTATTTATTTTAAATAAAAGTGATAATGAGGTGGAAATGAGATGGCAGTTTTGAAAATTTAATTTTATTATTTTTAAAATGCCACATCACACATTTAACGGTCAACTTTTAGAGTTGACCGCCACGTAAGCAAAAGTTAACGGAGTTGGACGGAGAGTGACTAAATTTGAACCATTTAACTAATTTTAGTGACCACGAATGGAATTAAATATTTTTAGTGACCAAATATGAACGTTTTTGGTAATCTCAGTGACCAACCATGCAATTAACCCCCGTGCATATGTAGCCTTGTGATTTGTGAACGTATGTATTTTATGTCTTTAAAATTTCTATTTTCTTACTATTCTCAAATCATTTCATTTTCTCTTGTTCATTTCATGGTTCTCGTATCTAACATGTATAATACTTATAGCATGTTTGTAGTGGTATTTAATGAATTAAGTTGATGGTATGAATATTGATGTACTATTAGATGTTCCATTAGCTTAAAAACAAAATAAAATACCTAACTTATAGGTACCTTATTTTAGTAACTATGTCATCAATCTCTCACTAGCTTTGACCCGGTATATCGAAAGAATCCTTTAAAGTTAGAGATTATGTAAATCATTTTAAAATAAATTAAAAATTGTAAATCACATAGCTATACGTAGACCTGAGCATTGAATCGTGTTTGGGCAAGTACTTGACACGACATGTCAATTTTCGTGTCGTGTCAACACATTTTCTAAATTTGATCAATCTTATTTGTACTTGAGGGTAGTTTGAATCGTGTCGTGCCAACTCATGCTCATGTCGTGCTTAATGAAAATGAAGGAAATAAAAGTGGGAATGAAAAAGGAGAAAGTTGGGCACAAAATGAAAGTATTAGTTGAGAATACTTGAGAAAATTAACAAATAAGGGGAAAAGAAAATTGAAAGTGTAGCAATAGTGACATAACATCCACATGTTTTTAATACTATTCGTTCATTTTTATTATGGTAGTAATTACATTTAATGTTTGTGTGATCACTTCTAAAATAATAATTCATTACTTGTGTATTTATATTTTATATTTTTTGAACTCATAATTCTATTCATATAATTTTTTTTAAAATAATTATTTCTTATATAAAATAGGAAGTTTTTTTTCTCATGTGAGGTTCCTATGCTCAATGGAGTCAAGAAAATATTAGGCATAAGTATAACGCAATTAACTTATACACTGTCAAGGGCGGACCTAGGTATGGAATCATCATGTTAGTATCATCAAGGAGGCTCGATGGGAGGGCCAATGTGATAGAGGCAAGGCAAGGAAGCCTCAACCCCATCTAGTCAGGACGAGAGGGACAAAATGGAGCTCAACTCAACTCCAAGCAAGCCCAATGCTAAGCCACCTAGATGACAGTTACCAACCGGTCACCTAGGTGGCAAAGAGGACTCCGAGACATTTTGGAGCAACAGGCCACCTAGCGATTAGCAAGGCAGTTACACCCGGTGACTATAAATAGGATAAACGAAGACGAGGAAAAGGTTCCACAACCAACCATTTGACAACACATGTCAAACTTTATCTTTTTCTTTGCAATGTAGCCATAGTCGTAGTCTTTAGTTTCTGTAGCTCTCAATGAACCTTCATAGGAGTAGGTTAATTAACGTAGCTTGTTCCCAAAAAACCCTCAAAACATCAAACACCCTCGTTCGAACATTGTTCAGAGAGGTGTGAACCGTGTTGATTTTTCGTTGTTCAAGAAGTCAAGGTGCAAAGTATTAATATCAAACATAAGAATTTCCTCGCCCGAAAACAAATTGACACACCCGGTGTGTTTGATTTGATGGTTCCGCGACTGAGAGAACAACAAGGTGATCTTTCACTTGGGTTTGTAAAAGAGTTAGTGGCCAGGTATGATCTTGGCTAATTAGCAAAAAGTGACGCCAGAAACAATGGTGGGGGAAGAGGTAAGCCATCACCGGCGCCATTTTTGGGTGTAACGGTCACCTTGTCTCTCCACCAGTAACTGGTGTTAGAAATAAAATTAATAGAGGAGGCTATGGTGGATACACCAAACAAATTGTATCTCAACTTGATTATTTCCATACTCGCCTAAATAAACGTTTGGATCAAGTGGATGAGATTTGCGAGATAAAAAAAAATTAAGGAGTTTCACCAAATTTTGATAAAACCATTTTTGAGATCAAAGGTTTTGGTGAAAGATGGGGTAGATGCACCATCAAGAATTGCTACTGGGGATACGAGTATTATAAACTCTGGTGGTCGAATTACCCAGCCAAGATTAGAGAACTTGTCGCCACCGGTAACAGGTCAACCATCTTTTCAACATGGGAGTTATGGAGAGATTCTCGCTTCCACGTTCACCACGTACGTAAAGCAACTGCCTATGCATACATCTACAATAAAAACTGTCTCAGAGGATAGACAATGCCTTAATGTGAAAGTTGGTGGATGACCACTCACAACAGATGTGTTCCCACAAGCTTGCCCAACACCATTGTCATCCATGCCCATCAATCCTGGTGAATGAGAATCATCAAAGGGACAACAAGGGTGGCATAAAGCCTACCACCTGACAAGTTGAAGGTGAACCGTCAAGCTAGGGGGCGAATTGACGTCAAGAAAATTGAACAAAAAGGTGTGTTCCACCATATTTCTTGTCTAATGATGGCATGAGAGACATGTCATCAACCACAAGTAGTGGGTTGACAGTTGTACCAACAAGCCACAACAAACCCAATCCACATCAAGAATGCTAGTGTATCTAAGGCCTAAGTGTGGCAAGGGGGCATCTCTCCAGCCCCATGCAATAGAGTAGTGGGCAGGTCATCGATCGCAAAGAAACATGTGGGAGGCATGTCGTCAACCAGTAGTAGTGGACATATAGACATATCCAAGAAAGCCCAAAAGTCCCAGCCATGCATGGTGGTAGTAAGCATGATGGTATAGTTAAGTGTAGCAAGGGGAGCACGTCAACAAACATGAACAAGGGTATGGGGGTCATGTCTCCAACCAGTGGACATGTGGGCAGGTCACTTATACTGAAAAAAACGAGAGGTGAGCAAGTCTATGAGTGTTCATCACACCCAAGCGCTCTATGATTTTCACCATCATGAGAGTGTGTTGAGTAATGAGTTAATCTTCTTTCCTTCTCAAAATATCAAATCATTTCAAAATACTTTGTGGGTTTTCTTTGGTTTACCCGCTCCTCATTATATGCATAGACCGCGAAGTCAGCGCATTCTTCAACAATGGAATCGAAGCCTGGCTCGAAATTAAAATGCTCTCGAGGGTATGGTAGCGTCTCCAGGTTGAAATAATTTGGACGGCAACCAAAATAAAAACCCTGCGTGCATGAATTAAAAACAGATTTAGAACCTCCTCGAATAGAATTTGCAGAAGAAAGTAATTGATAGTATAAGAATTAATTAAGGGGATTTTGGGAACTTACACCCTCCTCGAATAACCTCCGCCTGTAGAAGATGACATGCAGCCTTAGGGTCTTATCGCCACCGAAATCGTCGTACCTAGAAACGTAGTCCTCATCGTCGTACTCTTCTTTCATCTCCTTCTTGTCGAGTTCCTGGCAGCTTTTGCATTGGGGATGCTTGTAGTAGGTCAACTGAGGCAACTCTAGATCGTCGGAGGAGGCCATGGGATCCAATCGATTACCGGTGGATGAAGGGCAACCACTCGCCTGCTCTTCTCTTCTATTCTAGGGTTTTCGATTTGATTTTTGGAAACCCTCGGGGATGAACGAACATATATTGTATGAATATTTATTTTATTGAAATTATTAGTGACCATTGTAGCCATGTCTGTTTCTTGAGGGATTCTTTTGTAATTTTCCCTCACGTGCCCTAGTTCATTGTCGATGGGGTGGCCTTATATATATCCTACCATTACTATATGGAGGTTTTCCTCCTTGACCGTCTTCATTAAGAATTTCCACCTTTTGAGTTTTGAGTAATTGTAAGAAGGCTAATATTGTCATTCTAATTATAAAAAAAAAAGAGAATAGGTAGTTAGGAAAAAAAACTACCAAGGTATGAGACTTATGCCTACCGAACCATGGACTACAAGTGATGGTAACCCGACCCAATAGACTAGAGATCCCAAGAAATGGGTTCAATGGGTAATAACAAGTCATGAGTAGTATGCGAAAAGTTCCCAAAGAAAGAGGGAATATCCTGGGTTTTTTGCTCCTATAAATAGCAGATCCCCCAGACCCTCTAAACACACCTCAGAAGAGCAGAAACACGAGAGAGAGAGAGAGAGAGAGAGAGAGAGTGAGTTCATAGAACTCCGGTTTCCGCACAAAACTGATGAGCAATAAAGAAAGAGTGGTTGTTTTATCCTGGAGGCCACCGGCTGATAGTTTGCTGTGCGCATTACGAGGCAGTGCCACGAACGTCTTAAAGAGAGCGACCTAGTCCGCGACTCAACCAGATCGGTAACCCTAATTTTTCCTGTTCGGTTTTTAACATTACATAGATTTAGGCAAGATTTCATGCATGAGAGACGTCCACGACTTCGTGATTGTGGGGGAGATGGGAAACCCCATCGTCGATCAAATCGCATCTGGAAAAGCCCCAAACCGCCACAACAAAGTTCAGAGCAAGAAGTTTTTTCCCCACTGATGCTTACTCCATTTTTTGCTTTTTTTATTTATAGGTTGGGTTTTATCAGGAGGTTCAAGACTAGGCTTTTTTTAGGGTAAATACAATATATTAGCCACAACTATTATGAAGCGGGAAATTATAGCCACCGAAAATTCAAATTATTAGCCATAACTATTGTTGCGGGTCAAGAAATGGCTAATTGTCCGTTACTGTTATTGAATTTTTGACGGACAACGCCACGTCATCGACCACTGCAGCGGCCACGTCGGAATGCTTTTAATTTATAAATTTAAAACATAAAAGTTTAGTCAGTATTACTATCGAAATTGTTAACAGATGAAGCAACATATAACCTGGGATGTCCGGTGCGGCCGCAATGTGAATTTCTGGACGAGTCCGTGGCTTGCTGATGGGATCATTCTAGCTGATCATATTCAGAGCAATGGGAGTGATATCCATTGGGAGGCTTCTGTGGCGAAGCTAACCTCGGGCGAAGGTGAGTGGAGATGGAATGATATCGAGCCCACCTACCTAACAACTTAATTATGCTTATTGCAGGTACAGACACCCCAGACTCGGAGCTGGGCGAGGATGTTGCAGCTTGGGGTATGGAAGAAGATGGTTGTTTTTCGGCTCAAATAAGCTTACAAGGTGGCTGCGGACTGGTTAAGAAATGAGGAAGAAGAGGAGATGGATGGAACGGGCAGACCAGTATGGAAATACTTATGAAAATGGAATGGCCCCAACAGGATCAAACATTTTTATGGTTGGCGGTGCATGACAGATTACTGACCAATGTGGAGCGAAAGCGAAGGAAGCTCACCACTGAGGAAGACTGCTGCTTCTGTAACTCGGGGACTGAGACGGCGGATCACGTGATACGGCGATGCTCCCGGGCTACTCAGGTATGGCAAGCTCTTGGTTTGATGGATACCCAATTAACAGTGGCTCTCCCTCTTGCAGATTGGTTGAAACAGAGGTTGCGTGTGGATGAGGAACGGCTTGCTGGTGGGCGTGGTATCTATGGAAGCAGAGGAATGAGTCAATATTTTAGAAGAAATCCTTTGATGCGCTGGTCCTGTCACAACGAATTCAGAATTGGGCCAGAACAATTAGGCAAGCCCAGGAATGTGATATGCTGACTAAAGATACGACAGGAGTTAGGGTGCAGCATGATCTGGCCTGGAAGATGCCGCCGGAGGGTGGACCAATTTACAGACTGACGAATCTGTCCGCCAACCTGGCTCTATGGCAGCAATAGGTGAAGTTATAAGGGACCATCTCGGGCGATGCTTAGCTGCTTTCACCGGGAACCTGGGCGCTTGCACAATCACTGGGGCTGAGATTAAAGGTGTCATTGAAGGACTTAAAATCGCTTGGGATCAAGGTTACAGGAAAGTGATGGTTGGCCTAGACTCAACTGCAGCATTACAACTTCTCACGGCTACAAATCTGGAGGATCAAAGGTACTACAAGCTCATCCAACAATTCAGGAACCTTATGGATCGAGATTGGGAAGTTCGTCTTTCACATGTCTACAGAGAATGCAACAAGGTGGCTGACTTCCTCGCCAATCGCGGCCATGACCATAGTTTAGGCATTCACAGTGTCAATGTTTCTGATTCGGGCCTTCCGTTCTGGGTCCTGTATGACGCTATGGGCATTGCCCAATCTCGTTTAATTTAACGTGCCAGGCAGGGGTGCCCTTTTAGCACCCCACTTTTTTACCAAAAAAAAATTTGTTAACAGATAGTGAACATTTAGTTAATAATTTGAATTTTCATAGTTGTAACTATAATTCCCGCTTCATAATAGTTTGGCTAATATATTGTGTTTGTTTGGCTAATATATTGTGTTTTTTTTTAAAATAAAGAATGAACTATGTCGAAAGCTGGATATTCTTGTTTACGGTGAGAATAAAGCCCAATGGACTCAAAAAGTCAAACCTGATCTATAATGACGGCCCAGACTTGGAATTAGCACAGTCGATCACTGACTAATATGTAAAGGCGATGATCATCTCGTTCCTTCCTTCCTTCCCTAGGGTTCCCAAAAAAATCGAAATCCCTAGAAGAGAAGAAATCAGTAGTGTGGGGCGTGGCTCATCGATCCACTGGTCCTCCATGGATTCCTTCGGCAATGACGAATTCCCAAAGTTGACCTATTATGAAGGCATCTACTGCGACAGCTGCCGGAAAATGGCCAAGACGGAGATGAAAGAAGAGTACGACGACGACGATTACGTTTACGAGGACGACGATTTTGGTGGCGATAACACGCTAAAGCTACGTATGATCCACTACAGGAGGAACGTGGCGTTAAATGGTGTAAGTTCCCATAATCCAAAATTCTTTCATTGCAAAAGTTAATTCCGTTTTCCTAATTACTAATTCGTTCTACGCGCAGCCTTTTTATGCGGATTGCCCTCCAAGTTATCCGAGCGTGGGTTTGCTACCACACTCTCGATACCATTTTAAAAATGAGCCGGAGTTTGAAGAGACCGTTGAGGACTGCGCCGAGTTCGCGATCGAGACATATAATGAAAAGATGGTACAGCTAGCAAAACCCATATGCATGATTTGTTTGTTGGAATATTTTTGATTTCGAGAACTGAAGCTAGCTAGGTTCATCGTTTATTTCTTGTGTTTGGATATATGCGCGTTTCCTTCCAGGGTACTGAGATGGAGCTTCGTGGGATTGAGAATGTCTCTTGTGAAGGTTTTGCTAGGAGGAGATTGTATATGATTCTTCGTTGCTGCATTAATGTTGGTAGCTCCAGCCCTGACGATGATGGTAAACAAAAAAGGAGCTCCGAGGTGAGTGACGACGGAATTGACAAGACTTACAGAGTTGTGGTTTCCTGTTGCTGGTGGAGAAAGTTGTACAAGGAAGTTTTGGTATTCAAGGACTGCCATGGGAACAGTACGTTTTTGCCTAATTACCTCGATCTCTTCAGTGCTTGATTTTCCGTTGATTGACATGGAGAATAATATATGTGGTCTTACGTACTACTTTTGTATATGGATGGACTTGTACGATTTAGTTCCATTATATATTATACCCGGTTGCTTTGCTTGGGTACATAGTGCTCATAGCTAGCAATTGTACGTGTTGCCAGTTTGTTTGTTTCCTAATGAAAGATCCCTAGCTTATTCACAGATTTGTTGGTGCCCAATCGGTCCTTCGATGAGCGCACAAAGACACAGAACCGCCGCCCTCCTCCAATTGAACATGATGATGTTAGCAGCGTGGAGCATCACTAATTGGGTTGTGAGAAGGATAGAATTATGAAGGATTTGAGGAAACCCAAGAAAGAAGGATCGGTGAAGGGAGGGGAGAATTCGGCAATGATTCTTTTTGTATTTAATTTTCTTATCGAATCCAACTCATGCCTACATAATATATAGGCCTAATAATTTTTTTTAAAACTATCAATAATTAACTCCCATAACCAAAGTATCAAATAGCATCCCGAATTCTCCAAAACTATATACTCAAATAATACTTTTTTTTGTCTTTTTTTATAAGAGTGACATAGGTATACTTAGGGTGGTTATACGGTCCAATCAGGTTAAATTGGTCCAAATTGATCCGGTCCAGTCCGGTCTTTTTGAAAATATAAGGACCAAAGATTGGATTGGATACAGTCCGGTCTTGATCCGGTCCGGACCCAATTCGGTTTTGATTTTATATTGAACTTGTGGGGATTTGAGTGGCCTAAGGCCTGAAAGGATGAGGAGTTGGTTAAGTTTTGTACTAAGTGCAAATGTTTGTGACCGTTTATGCAAATTACCCTTAAGTTTTTGGTGTTGAGCTCTCTTATCCAGTCTTTATCCAGTTTTCGTTCCGGTCCCAAACGGTTTTTTCTACCTCAAATCTAAGCCTAAATAGCCAGCCCTAGGTATACTTTTTGTTTTTTAGGTATTATTAAAAGAATTCGAATCTTGAACCTCCCGGTTCAAGGCTAGTGGCAGGTTTCTAAAATTGTAGTTTACAGGGTATGTGGATTGCTGAAACACAGTTGTTATAACTATATGTTCGTTTACGATAATTGGAGAAACCCAACTAATGATAATGTTTTAGGGTTCAAGAGGATGGCGTAAGAATGTCTCGAACTACATTTGACGGAAGTGGAACCTTGGAGTAAAGACACCAACTCAGCTAACTCAAAGCTGTGAAAGTAATTTCCTTGATTCCATTGCAGATAACTCCATTTTGTGCAGTGGCGGATCTAGAGGGTGGCCACCCCGGCCCCCGGCCCAACCTTCCTTGGATCCGTAGTTAGTATAGTCGTTATGAATTTTTCGATTTTAGACATTCGGTCTAGTGTTATTTTATAATAAGATTGGGTATAACTAGAAAAATGAGTCAGATGAACATATTCAAATCACTACTCTAAATTTAGCCTAGAAATTTCAGGCCCAAAGATTTTTTTTTATTTCTGGGTGATATCAATGAGAAATAATAGTTAAGCTTACAATTCTACCCAGGACCCCTAAAAGGCTCTACTGAAGCCACCCCCAAGAAATCAAAAGATTCTAGTTCTACAAGAGACAAAAGCAGTGCTTTACGCACCACTCTATGGGCAGCACTGTTGGCGGATCTAGGTACCGGCCAAAACTCTATACAAACAGACAAAGAGCTAAGGATTTGGATACACTCTCGTAACACCGGACCACCAATCGAATCTTCTAAGACGCCATGACGGACTTGGTTGACCACCACTTCGGAGTCACCTTCGACTATCACGTGGGACAAGGATCTTGAAGCTACAAAGGAGATAGCATCCCTGAAAGATAGAAGTTCAGCCAGATAAGGGTTGACTATTCCTTGATGCTGCAACCCGACCGCCAACCTAACATGCCCGTCTGAGCCACGGATTACAAGCCCAGTCGAACACCCAGAGGCGCTAACAGCTGCGTCGACGTTGATCTGCAAATAGCCTTCTGGTGGAGGGACCCAATAGGTGGCTGAAATGTTTGGGAGTAGAGAGCTGCGGGGAGGAGGGGGGGAAGGAGACTGGAAATATCGAGGACCTGGTTGTTGAAATGTCTAGCTAAGGAATGGACATGGGGTTGGGTAAATTCAAGGTCACTTCATTTCTAGACTTCCAGATTCTCCAAAGTAAACAGACGCATTGGAGAATGTGGAGGTCTCGGAGACCATGACATGTCGCCACCATAGACTAAAATTAACAGTCTGGGCGGTCTCAATAAAGTTGCTCAATCCCAGTAAAGACCACAATCTGATGGCTAGGGGGCATTTGAAAAATAAATGTTCGATACTTTCTCGATGTCTCCAGCAGACAGGGCATCGGTTAAGGCAGTTTACTCCACGAGATTGAAGGACCACTACTGTGGGGAGTATGACTTTGAGGCATTGCCATATGAACAATTTGAGTTTAGGCGGAACTTGGATGTTCCAAGTCTTTTTCCAAATAGGAGGGTCGATGATATGCACTATCGGTTTTCGACTTGATGCTATTATTATTTCCAAAGCTAAGTGATAACCCGATTTGACTGTGTATTTTCCATCTTTGGAATAGTGCCACACTCTAATGTCTTGCTGTGAGTAACGAGGGAGAGGAATTCTCCTTATGAGATCAACATACTGAGATTCAAAGCAATTTTGGAGCTTTGGAACGTCCCATTCCCTTCGACCTTCTTTTATAAAGTAGGATACCATAGGAGATCCATTTTGAATGTGGGGTCGTGTATTCGGGATTAAGGGTTTATCCCCCGGTACCCAGTTATCAATGAACGCCCGAGTTCTTTGCCCATTGCCTATTTGTCATCTTAATCCCTGGAGGAGTAGATCTCTTCCAAAGAGTAGACTTCTCCACCCCCGCGAAGGGTTTGAACCGATTGATGCTTCCAACACCGAACATTGATTAAAGTATCGAACCTTATAAATCTGGGAAATGAGTGAATTTGGATTGGTCCATATTCTCCAACATTGTTTGGCTAGGAACGCTTGATTGAAGGCTTCAAAGTCCCTGAATCCAAGACCTCCATGGAACTTACTGTGAGCTAGGCTTTTCCAAGACAACCAGTGGATTGGGTGATCTGAATTTTGTGCCGTTCCCAATGTTCAAGAAGACGCTAGGCGCTATCTAGGCGAGGAGGCACCGCCCAGCGCCCAGGCCGATTAGTCGTTGCCTATGCGAGATTAAACGTTGAAAAAAATATGTTAGATAGGTCATATTCCACAAAAACCCAAGTCCCCATATCATTATTCATCCATGCATATACACATACAACCCTTTCCTACAATCCCAAACATCCTAAGTCACCAATCATGAGGAGAGATCTCACTGCTAGTCGATGAGAGGGAGCGGCTGGTCGAATGGAAATGGGAAATAGAATAGGGTTTGAGATTTTCACAAAAAGGCTACACTTTCCCCTTTATTAGTTGTTCTGGGCATCGCCCACCAGGGTGAAAACGCGCCTCCGAGTGCCTAGGTGCCTAGTTCAATCGCCCAGGGCTAGACGGGGTGATTTCCTCCTGCCCAGCTATTAATCGCGCCTAGGTGAGAGATTAATCGCGTCTTCTTGAACACTGGCCGTTCCCCACCAAAACTTTGCGACATGACTGTTTAATCGTCTATAGTTTTCCTTGGGGATCTTGAAACATGACATTCCTAGTACTGGTATATTAGTAGCCGATGTTCTAATAAGAATGTCTTTCCTGGCTTTCGAAAGGGAACGATGTTTCCACCCTTGTAACTTCTTAATAAGTTTCTCCTCCATGAACTGGAATGTATCCCTTTTTTATTTAGATAAGATGGCTGGTAGACCTAAATAGGAGTCATGTTCTCCTATGGTTCCGACACCCAATTGAGCACCCATAATTTGAGCATGAGAAGGGTCTGTATTATGACTGAAAAGGACAACTGATTTATTTAAGTTTATTCGTTGACCGCTCAACTCCTCGTAAGCCTGTAATAGGGAAAGGAGAGACGAACAACACTCCGGCGAGGCAGTCAAGAATAGGTATGAGTCATCCGCGAAAAATAGATGGGAAATTACCGGACAGCTAGGGCGGATTCTGATGCCTTCAAGGTATCCTACGGAGGTCGTCTTGCCAGGAAGAAAAGTCAACAGGTAGCGCCGAGCCACCAAAGTGCTCTCACTTGCCTTAGAGGGCACTGAATTAATTGATGGTACTCTTTCCTTGCCTCGATTGCTCGCCATATGGGCTTGATAAGCTCGAACGGCTTCCGGTGACAATGATTTGAGCACTATTTTTTGCCTCGATGTTTGAATGAGTAGCAATTGGTTCTGCCGTCGTGCGAAACTTGGCGATCAAATTGCCAAAGCCTCCCAAGCACTAAATGTGCTGCCTTCATTGGAATCACGTCGAACAACAACTCATCCTAGTATTTCCCAATCGAAAACGACAGTCATACCTGCTTGTTGAACTTGATCGCGGCGTGATTTCTTAGGCAGTTCAAGGAGTATAGTTCTGGTCGATGGATCATAGCCAAGCCTAGCTTCTTAACAGCGTCAAGGCTTACCACATTTGCACAACTTCCTTTATCGACGATGACGGTAAGAGCCTTACCTCGTACTTGACACCTAGTGTGAAACAAGTTGCTTCTCTAGTCTGCAACGGGTAAATCTTCTCTGCCATTGTTAGCATATATATGATATTTAAAGCAAAATTATTTTTAGGTGTAAACAAATATCAACCGCGGAAGTTAAAATAAAGTTGACACGTAATTTACGTGTTCTTGTCATCCGATGTCAAGGCTGTTTATTATCGCAGGTATGGTGCCGCGGAACTTAGTATTGTGCTACGCAAAGGTAAGGTAGCTATAGAAAATATATAAGGGCATCGACGATGAACTAGGGCACGAGAGGGGAAATTACAAAAGACTCCCTCAAGAAACAGACATGGCTACAAAGGTCACTAATAATTTCAGTAAAACAAATATTCCTACAATATATGTTCGTTCATCCCCGAGGGTTTCCAAAAAATCAAATCGAAAACCCTAGAATAGAAGAGAAGAGCAGGCGAGTGGTCGCCCTTCATCCACCGGTAATCGATTGGATCCCATGGCCTCCTCCGACGATGAAGAGTTGGCTGATGAGTTGACCTACTACAAACATCCCCAATGCAAAAGCTGCCGGGAACTTGACAAGAAGGAGATGAGAGAAGAGTACGACGACGAGGACTACGTTTTTAGGGACGACAATTTCGGTGGCGATAAGATCCTAAAGCTACATGTCATCTTCTACAGGAGGAGGTTATTCGAGGAGGGTGTAAGTTCCAAAAATTCATTGTAGTTTCCCTAAATTTTATTGGTTCTTGATTAGTAATATTGGCTATTCGAAATCTGTTCTTAATTCATATACGCACGCAGCGTTTTTATTTTGGTTGCCATCCAAATTATTTCAACCTGGAGTCACTACCATACCCTCGAGAGCATTTCAATTTCCAGCCAGGCTTCGATTCCATAGTTGAAGAATGCGCCGACTTCGCGGTCTATGCATATAATGAGGAGCGGGTAAACCAAAGAAAACCCACAAAGTATTTTGAAATGATTTATTTTATTTTATTTTGAGAATATATATGAGCCAGTCTGTTCTGTATATGTTTTTGCAGGATGGCACGATGGAGCTTTGTGGGATTGAGGATGCCTCTGTTGGAGGTAGTGTTGGTATCAAGATATTCTATATGATCATTCGCTGCCGCAATGGTGATTGCGCCGGTGGTGACGACGATGGTAGCTCCGGCGGCGGTGGTAAACGGAAAAGGAGCTCTAAAGAGAAGAGTTACAGAGTGGTGCTTTCCTGTCGGTGGTGGAGTAGGGATCTGAAAAAGATTCTGGTCTTCAGGGACTCTAATGGGGCAAGTAAGTGACTACGTACTTAGCATTGCTTGGGTTTGTATTCGCTGCAACAATGGATGTTGTCAATTCCTTTGCTAAGAAAAGATGCTTAATTCCCTGTTTACAGATTTGATGAGAGCCGATCCCACCTTCGATGCCCGCACAAAGCCGGGCATGCGCCGCCGTCCCCCGGCCTAACTGGTGGAGTTGGTGCCTGTGCGGCCAGGGGTGGAGCTACACAGGGCCTGGGAGGGGCCCCGGCTCCCCGAAAATTACGAATGAATGATGGATATTCTGGAAATTACGTAGTAATTAAAATGTAGACTATAATAAAAGTCGCGTGCAAAATTGTAACAATGAAGGTGTTTAACCTAGCGGAGATCTACGTATTCTACAATCGTGTAGTCAGGGGTTCGGGTTCAATACCCACTGACAGCAGTTAAACATTAGTTATTAATTATAGTCTTGAATCGTTGATGTAAAGTTAATTTAGTTCTTAACCCTATATTAAATAACTTGCTACAATTTCTTTTTATTTATATTTTACTTATTTATTATTGGGACTTCTTTTGACGTCCATTTATTTACAGTACCATGTTGTAATTTATCACTAATTACCCTAGGTTACTCGTTGCATTGGGTATTAGTAGGCAGCTGGTATTGTACTAAAAAAAATACAAGAGGCCTTGATTTCTATTCGGCCGATCATAGTGAAATCCTATCTCAAGCTCTGCTCACCGTGGACTAGTCCCGTTATCGGGGAAACCACGTAAACCTGTTCTTATTTACTTAAAGCACTATCAAGTTTTACATGGTATCAGAGCAGTGATCGTTCCTGACCTGCAACGATCTCTATAGTTATGGCAGATGATGACATGAGTGATAGTTCGACCGGCGGCAAGGGCGCGGGAGACGTCAAGATGAATCTCGGCGGCAGCAATCCGATTCCCCTCTCCTCGCCGCTTTTCCTTCATCCGTCCGAGAATCCTGGACAACTATTTGGCGGCGATCTCCTAACGGACCTGAACTATGGCGAGTGGGTCAACGATATGACCGAAACCTTGATCGCCAAAAACAAACTAGCGTTCGTCAATGGCGCATTGCCGCGTTCGGCTGCTGGTGATGGTTTGCGCCTTGAGGCTTGGGATTGCTGTGATGCAATGGTAAAGGGCTGGCTCAAGACAGCCATGACCAAAGAAATTCGAAACAGCGTTCGTGGAGTAAAAACGGCGCGCGAAATCTGGCTCGACTTGCGCCAGCGTTTTGGTGCGGGTTCGGCTACGAGAGCTTACGAGCTGCGCAGACATATTGGCGCTCTTCGCCAAGAGAAATCTTCTGTCTCCGCTTTCTACACTCAGCTGCGGACTTATTGGGATGAGCTCCAAACCGTGAGCGTCAATCCGCATTGCAGCTGTGGCGGTTGCACTTGCAATGTCAATCGCCAGGCGCGGGAGAAACTCGAGACGGAGCACCTCTTTGATTTTCTTTTGGGGTTGACTGATTCGTTTGCTGTTGTGCGTACCCAGATTTTGAGCACCAGGCCACTGCCATCACTTCCAGAGGCATATCAATTAGTGGCAAGTGACGAGCAGCAACAACAGTTGACAGCCAGGCGCCGACCATCGGTGGAGGCAGCGGCTTTCCAGGTGCGTGACGATCAGCAGGCAGCCACTTCGGAGCCAATTCGCTGCTCACACTGCCGCAAACTTGGGCACACGAAAGACATGTGCTATCGCTTGATCGGTTTTCCACCAGATTTCAAAAAGGGGAAGTCAGGTGATCGTTCCTCCACTGTGCGCAAGCAGGCCAATACTAGCGAGTCCACACCTCGGGCAGCGCATGTGGACAATGACACAAGCCCCATTCCAGGTCTCACGGCAGCACAATTTGCTCATTTGCAGCAATTCTTTAGTGCACCTGTACCTGGCTCTTCCGATCCTACTGCTCATATGGCCGGTAACAGTTCTGACCTTTATGAATGGCTTATTGATTCGGGTTGCAATGAGCACATTGTTAAGGACTCTAGTTGGCTTAACAGTTTGGATAGTAGTGAGCATCACTCTCCTGTCCGCATTCCTAATGGCCGCTGTATTCCAGTGACCGGAGTAGGAACAGTTGTCTTGAATGATCGTCTCACTCTTCGCAACGTGCTTCATGTTCCTGATTTTAAATGCAACCTCCTGTCGGTTAGTCGTCTTACACAGGATCATGATGTTGCTTTGTTGTTCTTGGCTGGTGTTTGCCTCATCCAGGACTTACGTTCCAGGATAGTGATTGGAATGGGGAGACTCCGTGATGGTTTGTATTACCTGGATCGAGGCAGCATGGATGTGTATACCGCGGGCCGAAGTGTGGATGCTTTTGCTGTGACTGGGCAGGAGACCTCTGTTCTTTGGCATCATTGGTTGGGACATTCGTCTTTTGAGAAACTTTCCCTGTTGCGTGATGTGCTTAGTTCGAAAAGTATTTCTTTTACTAAAACCCATTGTGATCCTTGTTGGAGAGCTAAGCAGACACGGGCTGTTTTTCCTTCTAGTAGTATTTCGACACATGGATGTTTCGATTTGATACACGTGGATATTTGGGGTGGATACAAGACCCCTTCTTTGGATGGCTCTCGTTTTTTCTTGACTGTGGTTGATGACTTTAGTCAGGCAACTTGGGTCTATTTGCTCAAATACAAGTCTGATGTTGAGAAGTATCTTCTATCTTTTTGTACGATGGTGAATACCCAGTTTGATCGGCAGGTTCGACGGATACAGGCAGATAATGGGATGGAGTTTCAGACTCATTCACTGCGCTCATATTATGCTGATCACGGCATTCTGCTTCAGACATCTTGTGTTAATACTTCCCAACAGAACGGGGTAGTTGAGCGGAAACACCGCCATCTTTAGGATACTGCGGGTGCCCTTCACTTCCACGCGAGTCTCCCTGTTCGTTTCTGGGGCGAATGCATTTTAACGGCCACATATTTGATAAATCGGCTCCCCTCCTCTGTTATTGCAAATAAGACACCCTTTGAAGTTCTTCTTGGCCGTCTTCCCACCTACACACATTTGCGCACCTTTGGGTGCCTTGCGTATGCCAAGGACACAAGCGGGGGGGTTGGATAAATTTGCTGAACGAGGTCGGCGCTGTGTTTTTGTTGGTTATCCCTCTTCACAGAAGGGATACAGGGTGTATGATCTTCATCTACGTCGCATTTACACATCTCGTGACGTGATTTTGTGGAGTCCAAATTTCCCTTCCGGGCAACACCTTCGGTACCCCCAGCCATTCATGCGCCCACTTCGGCGCCTCTTCTTGAGGGGGAGCTCGACCCCTTGGTCGGCCAGCATGCTCAAACTACTGCCACTCTTGAGGACAGCTTTGATATTGGGGATGCTCCCTCTTCACCTTCACCTGTGTCGCGCTCGTCCGAGTCAGCTCCTTCTCCGGAGGATGCAGGTACACATACTGGAGGATTTGATGGCGCCATACCCGCAGCTGTTTCGCCTGACTCAGCAGCATCCAGTCCCCTTGTTGCGAGAACATCGCCACCCCCTCCACCTCAACGTCGCGGTGACCGCATCCGGCGACCTCCAACCGAACTCGACATTTATGATGTCGAGCTGCCGGGATCCTCCACTTCGACATCAGCTACGTATCCCATCGCTAACCATGTTTCCTATCATCGTTTTTCTTACTCTCACCGTGCTTTTCTGGCCGCCATTGCACAGGTAGCGGAACCCAAACATTTCCGTGATGCAGTGCAGCATGCATGTTGATGTTGGCGCGACGCGATGATCAAGGAAATCATGGCTTTAGAAGCTAATGGGACTTGGACCTTGGAGTTCTTACCTCCTGGGAAACGGGCTATTGACTCGAAGTGGGTGTACAAGATTAAGTACTATCCAGATGGGTCCGTTGAACGCTACAAGGCTCGTCTGGTCGCTAAAGGTTTCACCCAAGTGGAGGGGGTCGATTTCACATATACTTTTGCTCCTGTGGCGAAGTTAGTTACAGTTCATGTTCTCATTGCTGTAGCAGTCAGCAAGGGTTGGCCGCTCCATCAGTTAGACGTTAACAACGCCTTCCTTCACGGCGATCTACAGGAAGAAGTATATATGAAAGTTCCTCTTGGCTTCGCTCAGCCCGGTGATACTCGAGTTTGTCGTCTTCGTAAATCACTCTATGTTCTGCGCCAGGCTTCGTGGAACTGGTATAACAAGTTCACACTGGCACTCGCTGAACTTGGTTTTGTTCCCTCGCGTGCGGATCACTCTCTTTTACTGTATCGTCGTGGTTCCTCCTTCGTCGCCGCACTCATTTACGTCGACGATGTGGTTCTTACTGGTAATGATGCTGATGTCATCTCTCATGTTAAGTCCTTTCTGCATGACCGATTCAGCATTAAAGACCTTGGTCCTCTTAAGTACTTCCTGGGCATTGAAGTTGCTCGTTCACCTGCTGGCGTTGTTCTTAGCCAGCGTAAGTATGAGCTGGATATCCTCAGTGATTCGGTGGTCACTGCCGCTCGTCCTAGTCGGTTCCCGATGGAGCAGAATCACACGCTTACTAGCACCAGTCCACCTACGGACGAGGTTGTTGACGTTCATTCCTACCGCAGGCTGGTGGGTCGTTTGCTTTATCTTACTGTCACTAGGCCTGGCATCACATATGCTGTCAATGTCCTGAGTCAGTTCGTTCATGCCCCTCGTCCTGAACACGTGACGGCTGCTCATCGGGTTCTCCGGTACCTCAAAACCTCCCCGGGTCAGGGACTCTTCTTTCCTTCCAGTGGTACTTTGACTGTTACTGTTTATTGTGATGCAAATTGGGGTGGTTGTCAAACCACCCGTCGATCGACCACAGGCTACTACATTCAGTTGGGTGCTGCTCCGGTTTCCTGGCGCACTAAAAAGCAGCGAGTTGTCGCTCGTTCGTCTGCCGAGGCTGAGTACCGATCCATGGCTAGTGCTGTTAGCGAGGTCATCTGGCTTCGTTTTCTCCTCACTGAGTTGGGCGTTCCTCAGCCTACTGCCACCTCACTGTAT